AGATAGAATTGATATACTATAATTGAAAATATAGCTATTATATAAAAAACTATTAAAAAAGCTATTATATAAAAAACAGAATGCTTCATACACTGATCACTGGCGATATATATATATATATATATATATATAACCATGACCATGATGATCCTGTTTCCACAAAATGTACATACATTGTATATGGTCAACTTAACAATCTACACATATAAATAAGTCCATATATATACATGTATGTGGTGTTTTCTACCACTTATATATATTTATATAGTTCATCAACGTAAACAGAGTAACACTGATCACTGGCGATATCACACTTATCATAATATCAGATATAAATATCACACTATCATAATATCAGATATAAATATCACACTTATCATAATATCAGATATAAATATCACACTTATCATAATATCAGATATAAATATCACGCTATCATAATATCAGATATAAATATCACACTTATCATAATATCAGATATAAATATCACACTATCATAATAACAGATATAAATATCACACTTATCATAATATCAGATATAAATATCACACTATGTTAATATCAGATATAAATATCACACTTATCATAATATCAGATATAAATATCACGCTATCATAATATCAGATATAAATATCACACTTATCATAATATCAGATATAAATATCACGCTATCATAATATCAGATATAAATATCACACTTATCATAATATCAGATATAAATATCACACTATGTTAATATCAGATATAAATATCACACTTATCATAATATCAGATATAAATATCACGCTATCATAATATCAGATATAAATATCACACTTATCATAATATCAGATATAAATATCACGCTATCATAATATCAGATATAAATATCACACTTATCATAATATCAGATATAAATATCACGCTATCATAATATCAGATATAAATATCACACTTATCATAATATCAGATATAAATATCACGCTATCATAATATCAGATATAAATATCACACTTATCATAATATCAGATATAAATATCACGCTATCATAATATCAGATATAAATATCACACTTATCATAATATCAGATATAAATATCACGCTATCATAATATCAGATATAAATATCACACTTATCATAATATCAGATATAAATATCACGCTATCATAATATCAGATATAAATATCACACTTATCATAATATCAGATATAAATATCACACTATCAGAATATCAGATATAAATATCACGCTTATCATAATATCAGATATAAATATCACACTATGTTAATATCAGATATAAATATCACACTTATCATAATATCAGATATAAATATCACGCTATCATAATATCAGATATAAATATCACACTTATCATAATATCAGATATAAATATCACGCTATCATAATATCAGATATAAATATCACACTTATCATAATATCAGATATAAATATCACACTTATCATAATATCAGATATAAATATCACACTATCATAATATCAGATATAAATATCACACTATCATTTAATTTTTTCCATGTATCAAATTTTCTTGATATCAATTATCGACTGTATTAATGGCAGTTATCAGTATGGAACTGCGATCCTTGACGTCATTCCCAGAGTTTTTACATGTATCTAATTTTATACATTTTATACCTAACATGTAACTGAAGCAACTAGATTTAATATATCAAAGACATGTCTTAAAATTACATTTCGTAATTAGGGTTTCTGTAAATATGTTTTTAAAACTGCCTGGTAACTTGATCGGCACAGTCATGTCAGGAAATTAAACAACCACTAAGCACTGACAAGGTTATGTACAGTGTACTGTACACATTTTATGAAAAATAGGATGTTAATGTCCTGTTCTTTTTTATGTAATTAGTACACTGTAATCAGACCAACGTGTCACCTATTTGTATTTTGGTCCAACATATACAGTCGCAAATTGATAATGATAGGCAGGCATTACATGTGTATATAAAATAGGACACTTTTGGTTTCCTGAATACTTCATTTTGATATATATGGAGTGAGTTTCTAGGATCACAAAAGAGGAACTACATGTAAATATTAATGTGCACTTGCCTTTTTAAACGTGCATGGGGTCCCAAGCAAGTGATAAATTATGTTACTCATACTGGGTATGATAGAAATATGTGTCAGAACTGTCCAAAAAGCATTGGGTCACTCCCAACTTTGTAGCTTATTTTTACAGTATGGTATAAGTATGGGTTAATTATGTATGGACATTTTTTGAACACTCCAATATACTGTACTTGTGTATTACTTGTACACGTACACTCAATATACTGTACTTGTGTATTACTTGTACACTCCAATATACTGTACTTGTGTATTACTTGTACACTTACACTCCAATATACTGTACTTGTGTATTACTTGTACACTCCAATATACTGTACTTGTGTATTACTTGTACATGTACACTCCAATATACTGTACTTGTGTATTACTTGTACATGTACACTCCAATATACTGTACTTGTGTATTACTTGTACATGTACACTCCAATATACTGTACTTGTGTATTACTTGTACATGTACACTCCAATATACTGTACTTGTGTATTACTTGTACATGTACACTCCAATATACTGTACTTGTGTATTACTTGTACATGTACACTCCAATATACTGTACTTGTGTATTACTTGTACATGTACACTCCAATATACTGTACTTGTGTATTACTTGTACATGTACACTCCAATATACTGTACTTGTGTATTACTTGTACATGTACACTCCAATATACTGTACTTGTGTATTACTTGTACATGTACACTCCAATATACTGTACTTGTGTATTACTTGTACATGTACACTCCAATATACTGTACTTGTGTATTACTTGTACATGTACACTCCAATATACTGTACTTGTGTATTACTTGTACATGTACACTCCAATATACTGTACTTGTGTATTACTTGTACATGTACACTCCAATATACTGTACTTGTGTATTACTTGTACATGTACACTCCAATATACTGTACTTGTGTATTACTTGTACATGTACACTCCAATATACTGTACTTGTGTATTACTTGTACATGTACACTCCAATATACTGTACTTGTGTATTACTTGTACATGTACACTCCAATATACTGTACTTGTGTATTACTTGTACATGTACACTCCAATATACTGTACTTGTGTATTACTTGTACATGTACACTCCAATATACTGTACTTGTGTATTACTTGTACATGTACACTCCAATATACTGTACTTGTGTATTACTTGTACATGTACACTCCAATATACTGTACTTGTGTATTACTTGTACATGTACACTCCAATATACTGTACTTGTGTATTACTTGTACATGTACACTCCAATATACTGTACTTGTGTATTACTTGTACATGTACACTCCAATATACTGTACTTGTGTATTACTTGTACATGTACACTCCAATATACTGTACTTGTGTATTACTTGTACACGTACACTCCAATATACTGTACTTGTGTATTACTTGTACACGTACACTCCAATATACTGTACTTGTGTATTACTTGTACACGTACACTCCAATATACTGTGCTTGTGTATTACTTGTACACTTACACTCCAATATACTGTACTTGTGTATTACTTGTACACTTACACTCCAATATACTGTACTTGTGTATTACTTGTACACGTACACTCCAATATACTGTACTTGTGTATTACTTGTACACTTACACTCCAATATACTGTACTTGTGTATTACTTGTACACTTACACTCCAATATACTGTACTTGTGTATTACTTGTACACGTACACTCCAATATACTGTGCTTGTGTATTACTTGTACACGTTAAGGATCTGTAGGACCAAATCTAGGTTAGGGTTACCGTTATCCACCTATCAATACTACCCACCCGAGCATTGAGTCTCAGCCAAATATCTAAGGACTTGGCAATTAACATTTCAGAATGAGGGTCTATAGCTACCACTTAAAACAGTGTTTGGTGGTAGCCATTTGATTTAATTGGTTTCAGGCATTCAAAACTGACCAATCACTAGGATGATACTTTGACAATAACGAAGAAGCAACGCCAGACTTTAAAGCCAGACTGTTTTACCTTTATATGGTGCCATGCAATTCTTTTGATGGACATGTACATCAAGCTGTCTAAGTCATCATCTGCAAGGTAGCCCATATACACACAGCCTTCAGTTTTGTCATGAAATATTCCAGGGATGCAGAGAACTTAACTTTTAATTAAGCTGAATGCCAAGGATGTATGACCTTTTGCTGTTTCAATCTTTTGAAACTTTGAAAGAGTCTAATTTCTTGAGGTTAAGTTTTATATGATTTCTTTAATTTTCATTTTTATATAGTGTTTGGATGCTAGCTGGCACCATTGGATTAATATAGAGATTCCATTCTATTTAGTATTAATCAATATCATATCAGCTTTAATTTCATATCTACTTTTAACTATCAGATACCCTTTGTACTGCATCTGAACCGTTACACTACGTGCTGGAAATAAAGATGGATTTGACTCCTGAAGACCATGCCAAGGGGAACTTGGATAAGAACTGCTATAAAAATAAATCACACCTGCACAAAGATTAGCCTTCATGGCATTTATATGCATTTTATATATGGATTCAATTCGAGGTTAGCTACAACGTAATCCTATGCACACATTAAGCAGATACACCAGAACTGGATTTAGTCACCTATAATATTAATTTACCTGCATGAAGCACAGAGGCTAGCAGCGATTTATATGGGATAAGAATAAAAATAGCGAAAAAAAATAAGTAACTGCACCTGTGCATGGAGCAATGGTGAAAACAGTACAGGATTTCCCCTAGAAGAGTGACCAATGCCAGAACTTCATTTGCACCCCTCCTCCCCATTGGGGTTTGAGGAAGAGGTCATGTCCTCAGTTTGTATTGCTGCACAAAGATTTTTCTTCTTTAATATGATATACAAGTTTGCTTAATTAACATTTATTACTGATGTATACTTACTGATAATAACTGCCGCAAGTAGAGCAAGGCCCGTCATTGGTACCCCATCGCAGTTTGGGAAAAACGGTTTTAGAATGTACAGCGAAAAAATCAGGGCTGATGCCGCTATTCCAACCGGACATATTAACAAAAAGTTGATCCATAAACAGACGAAACCCATTGTCTCCCCGAATGCTCTTTTAATGTATATATATTCCCCTCCTGATTGGGGAAATGTTGTCCCTAATTCTGCATAGCATATAGCGCATAAAGTATTGTAAATTCCACATGCTATCCACATCACGAACGACAAACCCACAGAATCAACGCGTTGGAGAATTCCAACTGGAGAAACAAATATCCCAGATCCGATAATTATTCCAACGATGATAGCAACACCATGTAGAAGAGAAATTTGTCGTTTTAACTGTACTTTTTTCCCTTCATCTGGTTTCGTCACTACAGCTTCTCCTTTGTTTCTTTTAAACAACCCCATGTTTCTTCACGTAGAATCTGGATCGTAAAACACAAATACGTCCAAACACCAGAACCTATATATGTTTATAGTACAAACTTAAAAGGAGAATTTATAGAAAACGTACTGCAGCACATACACCACGCCTACACATATATCAGCATTCAGTTCAATTCAATAAAACAACTGGATGAGTCTATGATTAAAGTTTCTAGCAGAGAAAATCCACTACTGCTGCCCTCGTGGATCCCTTGTTGTTCAAAGGAAGTACGGACGTGTATAGTAACTGTTGAATGGAAGACGGTTCAGTATTTGCGGCCGAGTGGTCTAAATTCAGGAATACATACATTTAATTTCATATACACATAATACTACCACAGGGTATATTTTGACACGACCGAAGAGTATACTTTAAGCATACTTTAATTCTTCTGTTATTAAGTTATGGATATATTCTAACTTCATGCATCCTTTTTGTAAATAGTTTTATCATAACTTTATTATCGAAAATACCATAAAATAAAAGTTTTTAACTGCCACCTCTAGAAATCTCTCAAAGTGACAATTGCACTCCATCAAGGAGATCTGTCACTATTATAAATGCTCTGTGACACAATAGACTGCCACGAGCACAGGGATTCGTTTAGGTCAAAAAGGTAACGTTAACCATTTTCTGTTTCATGTTTAAACCCCCGTGCAGATTAAATGATAAACCTTACGGAAATGATAAAATCCATGGATTGCGTTTTCATAAAATAAGTAGCAAAGGTCATCTGCTGAATATTTTAATTAGATGTGGGGAAAAATAGATTTTAGATATTACGATTTTGCGAAACGTTTATCGAATTGTTGACTCGGGGCAACATATATAAAACATATATTGAATATATCCATTCTGTAGTTCTTGTGCTGCTGATGCTATTTTATTTTGCAATAATTTTGTACTTTTAAACATATTATTAAAATATTAATGACGTAACGTCAGATGTTGACGCACAATAGTGAAACATACTTTTGACGTCATTTCGTTTTAGATTTGACGTTTGTGACACACGGTTTGCTATGTAAAACATGTGTTTTCAGAGCTATCGGAATGAATATATGCATATGTAAAGCCCATTTATTTGACATTCATATGTATATGACAAGTGAACCCGATTTTGAAAATTATCGAGTAGGACGTGAAGATGTGATAAATTAAATCTACCCGTTTAAGTCCTATCTGCTTCCTTAATATCAACCATGGTATGTAAGTTAAGCACATATTGATCAATACATACAAAAACATGCAAATAATAAAATAATCTGCAATTGTTTTATTTGATTAAAGCCCGCGGGATTGATATCTTGTAACAGGAGGGTGATAGTAGTCGGTAGGATTGATATCATTGTAACAGGAGGGTGATAGTAGTCGGTAGGATTGATATCATTGTGACAG